GTGTGCGTTGCAGAGTTCGCGTGGGTGCTGACGCGCGCGCGGGCGCCGGGCGTGGAGGTGATGGCGCGGGTGCGCGAGGCGCTGGACTCGCGCAAGGTGGAGCTGCTGCCCTTCCGACGCACGCTGCAAGTGTGCGACGACCTCTGAGCCTTCTCACGCCGCCCCTCCCTCTCGCCCTCGCCCTGTTCTTCCATTTATTCAAGATGGCAATTGACGTTCAATCGGTGCCATCCAATCGGGATGACATCCTAACATCTGACTCATGTCAAGTGTCGCTACAAATAAATCGAAGTTTAGAGAAGCCCGGAATGTGCAATTACTGTCGATTGATGTTAAAAAAAAACCTACCCACTGTAGAGACTACACAATGATAATGAAATTTTATCATTATGCCACAAACACATAATTACTTTTCCAGTACCTATTCCAAGACTTGTGTCGTTAACTGTTAACTATTAAAATGCAATGTCTTTTATATTATGTACAGAAGAGAGAGCAATGTGTTCATAAAATAAATATATTCTTTAAAATTTCTTTTGAAGATTACTTCTTTTCAAATCATGTGTTTCCTACCAGTATTCCTGCAATCCTAATGTAAGAAATTGTAGGTATCCTTCGGAAACGTCTGATAATGAATTTAATACTACGAGTACAACAAGGGCTTTGAGAAGAAACAAGACTAGCAACGCCAGCTACAGAACGTCTCTCTATTTGTAAAAGTCACTATCTCGGTTTTGGTCAAAGTTTGGCGTGTCTCGTCACTATAGACTACCTAGTGGCGCCTCCGGTGGGTATTTTCATGTTAAATGTTTTACTTATGCTTTGCAAGTTCACAATAAAAATAAAGTTTAAACATATGACAGCAGCTCCGCTTGTATATTTTCAGACAGAAAAGTTACATAAAAATGTATGCATTAAAACTTTCGTTTTAATTTTTGTTTCATTACAAAAGTAGGTTTAATTATCGACAATACGCAGAATCGAATTGTAACGTTTCATGGTGTGCCGGAGGGAGGTATAAATTTACAATGGTTCACCAATGCACTCGTAAATGCACTGAAACCAAAAAACATGCGTTTTTCTACATTTTTCCTGAATATCATACAGGTAAGAATTGTATTAAGAATTGTTCCCATCGATGTGTATTGTTGAGAGAAATCGAATGAGTTATTGATCACTTCTGTACGTGCCATTAGTCACGTAAAATGCGTTTTAGTTGCTTCATTTTTTTAAAGAACATGTATTTTAGAGTCATCACACACAACACACACACACAAACTGTTCTCCAGGAGTAGACCGAGGCGCCTCGAATGGCACCTCATTTGTCTCGATTGAGTGTCGGAAGGGGTCTAACTATGAGTAACTTTTCTTCAGAAGAAAACAGATGAGAAATGAAATATTACATTGTATATAATTAAAGTTACTCCATTCTAAAAAACATGAATTCTTGATTTGGTTTTAATGTCCTCAAGAAGGATGCATCAATTAGTTAAAAAAAAGAGCGTCTCTTATTTTTAAACATAAAATTCAGTCCTGTAAAAAGAACTGATAATTTTGAAATTTATCGAAGTATCGCACAAAATGTAGTGGTATATGGCATATGATGCACATTTTGAAATATATTTGATTATCTGATTTTAAGTACACTTGTTTATTTTCAGTCGTCAAAATGACACTTCATTTAATTTACTTTCATTCATTACAGCGCAAAGTATTGTTATAAAATCATTTAGTTTCATAGTTTTGTACTATGTAAACAATTACATTGTTGTATTTTGTTTAATTAACTATTAACTTCTTGAAAAACCGTTGATTATCTCAATGTTTATGGCATGCGTGAAATTAAAACGTCACAGTGCAATGGAAAGTCCACAACCACAATCAACTTCAGAAAAATGATCAGAATCGTTTAATTATGTCTTTATGAAACAGATGAAGCCAAGGTATTTACAGTCGGGCACGAAAATGAACAAAAATGTACATCACAAATTAGGTACACCGAAAATGTAATCAATTAACGAATAATACAAATAATAAAGGAATAATTATTACTACTTCTTAGATAATCGTGTTAATATTTATAGTACGATAAGTTAAATTAGAAACTGTAATCCTACCAACATACTTGAAAGTAATCATCCTAAACCTGAAGTCGCTTTATAGATATGTTTACTTCACCTATTCGAACATGATGGCCCAGAGAGAGCAGTTGTTTTGGCTAAACTCCTTTATTTTTTATAATATCAAGTGTATTGTTTATCATTTGAAATATCGTTTTTCTCATTTACACTCCACGTCTTCAACATAATCACGTAATACCATGTTGGTGTGACCCTAGCTAACCAATGGAATAACATAAAATATTTAACATGAATAAAAGTGTTACGTGTAAAATATTTGATCTTAGCATACTACGAATATAAAAATGTATTCGTCAGTTGTATGTACCCACTCTCAAAAGTACACCAGCAAAACGTCTGAGTCAGAACAGAATCATTTTTCACCTTTTCAACATTAATACGAGTGGTTCTCCCGTACATGCCCTTACTTTTCATGCAATGTAATGTTTTTATGGCTTTGCCAGCTTCTTCTAATATTTCATCCCTAATATGTTGAATGTTTTCAATTTTTTCTTATTTCAAACACTAATTCTCTAAGACATTAAGGCTATCATAAATATACACTACGAGGCCTACTAAAATAGGTCTTGTTCGGAACCAACATGACGTCATCAAATACATGCCTCAAATGGTAAAGCTATGCTTGAATTTCTCAAAATTAAAATTATTCTTTAGTGGAAACGTAAAAATATTGAAAGAAACACGCGGATAAGTGCGAATAATTGCACTCACGATAAATAAGAAAACGTGCTCCTTTCGACGCTCGTTTTCTTGATCATACAACTCATGAAATTATACCCCTCTTTATTCACTAGTTTCGTTAATTACTGTAATGAATTCAAAATTTTAATTAATATTAAGGTATTCATTAAATGAATTACAATGTTTATTACCCTGTCGTCCAAAAAAATCCTCTATCCCATTTTAGGGTACTTTCAAAAAAACATTCAGGGTGGTAATATCAAATGGAAACGTATAGGTTATATTTTGGACAGTGGCTATTACAATTCATTGATATCATAATAACATGAAACACAAAACATGTAATATAATCGACAAAGAATGTCTCATTTCGTAGAGTACGGCATAAAAACATACCTCAGGTCCTTTCCGGGACATTAAAACCAGGTTTTAAGGCCCTGGGACACATCGTTTCTGACGATACATGATCGTAAAGTATGTGCAGCGAAATGTGTGTTCAGGATTGTATGTGCGCCTGTTTCCCCTAATACGCCATGTATCTGAGAACTTCGGTGCTATTCGTCTTAAATTTCTTTTGATGCAGGGTTATTTTCTATATTGTATTAATGGGATTTGTGTCGATGGTTTCTTACAATCTATCAAAAACTGTAATCTTCTAACTGTATTGTACAATATGTAGAGGAGAGAGTAATTTTAAGTATTGTAGATTCGGCATCTTTCTTCACTGGACCAAAACTACTTATAAATAAATCCGCAATAATTTACATTTATATCTTTGCTTTCTACATCTTTGCTTTCTATATCTTTGCAATGAAGTTTCTTTCAAAGCCTTCTCAACATATTTTCACTACACTAGCTGCTTTGTTTTATACGGCTCTGAACCTACATACCCGAAGTTGTTTTAGGAAAGAATTTAAGAAATTTCTTGTGGAGACGGTTGGTTATAAATTTAGGTAATTTACAATAAAAAAAATTTAAATAATTTATAACATGTGGTTATTAACTAATTAAATATTATTTACTTTTTAATTCGTCTTATTTTAAAATTTAATGGTTCCTACACATACTAGTTCTTTTAAATTTTACATTAATGCCTCTTTAACATTAATGATAATCATATCAAAGCTATAAACAAAGAGTCAGAGATCCTTTCAAAAAATTGTGATAGCGCGAATAATAAATATTACTCTTTCTTTAAAAATATAGGGATAAAAATACCGTGTTACATCTGCTAAACATATTAACGGAAAACAGTTGATTAGCAAAACCCTTCTGCTAACCTTCGTGTACTTCCGTCTGTTTGCCTTGGGAACAGAAGCCCTTCCCTCCAGCACACGCTAGCTATGGCCACCGGCAGAAACGGCGAAGCTGCCGACCGCAGGCTCAGGCCAACCATACTCCACCTGCGCCGCAGCCATCCGAGATCCCCACTGTTCCCTCCTCCCTTCCCCGCCCCCGCGTCTCATC